CATGAGAGGGCTCCGAGCAGGAATGGCACGCACAGGCCTGTGAGGCTGATGGGGTCAACGACAGGAGGCTGTGGCAAGAACGTGCTGCACTCGGTCAGATCTGATGCCCATCACTTTTATGAATTTCTGTCTGCTCTTGCCTCTGGTGACACTGCCACGTCCTGTCCTTGTTTTCCTGCCCATATGTCCTATAAGTACTTCCTGTCCTTCCCCTACCCAACTGAAGGTATTTGTCAGAGGCAAGACGGTATCATCAAAGGCAAAGAAACATCTTGTGGTTATATAGGTCTTTGTATCCTCCTCAACATCTAGCAAAGCCCTCTATGTTACTGGAATAAAAATTACCCAACAAAATTGATAAAACTTTAGCCAGATCGATCAAGAAAAAAAGGGAGAGGGCTTAGAAATGAAAACGGAAAAGCTGCAGAAATACAAAGGACCATAAGAGACTGCCACAAGCAACTATACAGCCATAAAATGGACAACCTAGAAGAAATGGACAAATTCTTAGAAAGGTACAATCTCCCAAGACTGAACCAGGAAGAAATGGAAAATATGAACAGACCAATTACGACTACTGAAATTGAATCTGTGATTTTAAAAACTGCCAACAAACCAAAGTCCAGGACCAGATGGCTTCACAGGCGAATTCTACCAAACATTTAGAGAAGAGCTAACACCTAGCCTTCTGAAACTCTTCCAAAACATTGCAGAGAAAGCAACACTTCCAAACTCATCCTATGAGGCCACCATCACCCTGATGCCAAAACCAGACAAAGATAGCACACAAGAAAATTACTGAAATAAAATTTACCCAAATATGTCATGCTATATAAATGCAAATTAGCGGTTTTTCACTTCTTACTCTTTCTCTGGGAGAGGTAGGTGGAGAAAACGAATGCAGCAGCCCTTTTAGGATCTGCCCCCAGTGGCTGGATAAGCTGCCTGCCCTGCTAGCGAGAGCTGTGGCACCAAGGAGCGAGAGTCTGGTTACTCGGACTGCCTCTGTCAGCACAGCCGACTGAGAAGGTGACTAAATCGGCGCAGGTACTCAAGGTGGTTCTCTCTGCCTGCCCTCCCTGAAGTGCACTTCAGCTCCCCCGAAAGCCCCTCGGGGTGGGCCTGCCGTTGTAACCGCATCCTCGGGCCCTGGAAGAGAAAAACCGCTAGGAAGTGAGCGCTCCCAGACACGACAGGCCGCGCACGTGGAATCCCTCACCTCCTCTGTGCTGAGCCCCACCCAGAGAAGGCTGGGTGATGTCGCTTGTGCAGGTTCTCACCAGCCAGCCTGTTTTCCTGGCGAGGCCCCTGGGTTCCCAGCGTTTGGGGGTCGGGCCTAGAGCCCATCACAGAGGTATGCAACCCTTATTACCGCCCCCTGGTGGCAATACCCTGTACTGGTCCCAAGGGGGTGGGATCCACCCATCAGGCATGGACCTGGGCACCCCAGCGAGCAGGTGAAGCCCGTCCTGCCGCGCATCTTGCATGAAGACACTGGCGCACCCACCTCTGCATCAAGGGCTGCCTCTGCCCGGGGAGGCTTGTCCTTGGCTAGACGCTGAGCTCTCAAGGGCAGACACTGTCCTCTACAGCGTTTCCTCTTCCTGCACGGGGCAGGGAGCCAGCCAGGGCCTGGCATGGAGGGCCCTGTGGGTGCGGAACGTGGGCCCCTCCCGGTGTAAGAGGGGCTGCTGGGGGCGGCTCCCCTCAGGGCCTTTTAGGGTCTGAGCCCCACTTCCCCCTTCATCCCCTCCGGGCAGGTACTCCAGCTGCCCCCTGTGTACACCTCCACGGCCTTCACCACGCGGGGCGCGGAGCTGGCCCCTGTGCGGGGGTCTTTCTGCTCCACACCTGAGAGAAGGGGCCTCCTCGATTCCAGCGGGAACAGCAGCGGGTCCCCGCTGTCACCCAGGCAGCTGAGGAGCCGGTTCCTTGCTCCCTGGCCTCTCCCATGCCACTCCCCACTCCAGTGGCGCTGCTGTGACACTGGAGGGGCTGTGAGGCCACAGCCCCTCATTTCACCTCAGGGGGCCAGGCCCAGGCGAGTGTGAGGTCCCTGCTTCCCGGCACCCCTTCTCCCTCTGAGATGGGGCTGGGACACCGTGGGCAGAACAAAAGACGACGTGTTGCAGAGCACTGTTAAGGACCTGTATTTTGGTTCTTCACAAATGGACAATTTGCCAAAATAACGACAGTCTGCGGCTTTTTTTCTTTGGCCGCGCCGCGCGGCTTGTGGGATCTTAGTTCCCAGACCAGGGATCGAACCCGGGCCCTCAACAGTGACAGCGCGGAGCCCTAACCACTGGACCGCCAGGGAAGGCCCGGCCTGTGGCTTTCTGAAGCGTCCGCTTCGCTCCGCAGGAAAGGCTTGGCCTCGGAGGACCTCGGGCGCCGGGACCGTGGGGCTGGACACCCTGAGAGTCGGGAGGGTCCCCGGAGGGCCGGAGAGCAGGCTGAGGGCTGGGCTCCGCAGGGGCTCTGGCCGAAGGGGGTGGGGACTGAGAGGCGGGCTGGGGACGCGGTGGCGGGCAGGCGTGGCCTTCCCACGGGCGGCCTGGCGAGGGCTTCGGAAGTCACTGGACGCGGAGGACAGGCACCACCGCCGCCCCGGTCCTTGCCCTCGGAGCCCCCGGTGCCGACAGCCGCGCTCCCTCCGCGGGTCCGTGGGCGGCCGGTCGCGGCGTCTCAGGCCGGCTGCAGGGGCGCGGCGGCGGCGCAGCCCACTTTGTTGCTGAAGAGGCGCGAGAGGCTGCGCTTGGGGGCGGCGGGACGCGGCGGCGGGGCGCGCGGGAGGCCGCGCACGTCCCAGAGGCGCAGCGCGCCGTCGTGCGAGGCCGTGTAGAGCACCTGGCCGTGCACCTGCGGGCGCGGGGCGTGGGCGGCGCTGGAGGGGGTGCGCCACCCCCCCCAACCCCGCGCCTCCCCGCAGCTACGGGGTCACGTAGGTGCAGGCCCCGCCCTGCCTCGGGCCAGCGGCGGCCCGGGCCTCGGCGTGAGCCGCGAACGCCCAGGCCGCCTGATGGGGAAGGCTCAGCCTAGGGGGCCTCGGTTCCGGGGAGGCTCTGCTCGCGGGGGAGCGCTGCTGCCTGGCCCCCCCTCCCCACTTCCCCTCCGAGGCAGAGGCGCAGGCGGGCTTGCCCTCGCTCAGCCAACCAGCCACGGGCCCCCGGAGAGAGCTGGAGCGCCTACCTGGATGCAGTTGATGATGAAGGCGTGGCCGCGGAACACCCTCCGCAGCGCTCCAGACTGGGCGTCGAAGGCGCGCGCGCGGGCGTCCCCGCTCCCCGTGAACACTGTGAACACACGGCAGCACTTGCCTCCCGCCCGAGAGCTCTCGTCCCCTCGGGACTCCACAGGGCGGGGGGCGTGGATGGACAGGGCGGGGAGAGTGCCGGGAACCCCCTCCGGGACGCATCCGCTCGCCTCCCAGGCATGTCATAATTGCAAATGGGAAACAGCAGAAGCCCCTTGAAAGGAAGTAGGCGGCACCTTCCCTATCTCAGTACTTTCCTGTGAGTTCAGGGTGACGCCCAGGGTCCCGGAGGCGCCCTCTGTAGGCTGCAGCCGGCTCTGCAGGACTTCGGCTGCCCCACCGCCCTTGGGCTTCAGGTCAGCCTGCCAAGTCCTTCCAGGTGCTTCCACCCCTCCCGAGTACCACCTGGGCCCAGCTTCCTACTCTCAGGCCATTTGGTGGAAGCCTTTGGTGAAGCTTAGCTTCCCTGCCGGGTGCTTCCAGCAGCTCTGAAGCCTCTGCCTCGGGGGGGGGGGGGCCATCCCCCCCCCCCCCCCCCCCTCGGAGCAACCTCTTGGGGCAGGGC